AAAATTTCTTCATGTCCAATTTTAGCAATGGTGTTCCAATGTGTTTTTTTTAATGATTAGAACTGCTATATTGAAAAGAAATCAATTTATAAATTCCCTAGTCTCTGTTGATAGTATACACTAGTCTGTATCACTTTGCATCTTCAGTGAGGAGCATTACAAAAGTCTTAGGGACTTCCAAACACAGGAAACATTCAAATAAAAGGTGAAGTATAGTCCAGAAAGACAAAAGTTTGTGTGAGTGGGGAATCACATTAAAATTATTTGTGATTATTGGCTTTATATACCCATGTCTTTTTTCGTTTTAATATTTTATTTAAATTTTGGTTACTATTTTTAAATAAAAAAAGTTATAACCTGTGAGTACTGTCTTCATCATAGTCTGTGACAATAACAAGCAATACTTATACCAGGCTCTTGTATAAACTTATTTATTTTTGGAATATGTTCAGCTGGCTTATCTTCATAAACACTCTGAACAAAATGAAATGGTAAACTAGTTGTTGTTTTTCAGTACGATGGAGACATATGAAGCCAAGCTTGTACTTAGGCCCATGCCCGTAAACCAGGTGGTGGTGGCGCAGGATTGGGGAGGCAGAGGTAGGTGGATCTCAGAGTTCTAGGCCAGCCTGGTCTACAGAGAGAGTTCCAGGACAGCCAGAACTGCACAGAGAAATCCTATTTATAAAAATAGAATAGAATAGAATAATAAAATAAAATGAAAAAAAGAGAGAAAATCATTTGTGTTTTAGTGATATAATTTTGACAGGAGAGTATTATGGGATGACAGGTTTAATATTAACATTGCCCTCAACCAGCTTTCTTCTGGACCTCTTTCCTCATAAGTTGAAGGATTAGAATATTCAGTTATACCATTTTTTGTTCTGAAATTTTTTCCTTTCCTATGTCCAAATCAGATGTATAGCTGTGATTCAATTGTTAATTCACTTTGAAGGCAATAGGTAGAGTAGGATTCTTTGATTTTAGATGATTATAGAGATAAAATATCATTTAATTGTATTACTTCAAAAACAGTTAACGTAAAGCCAGAAAATACTTACTTTTTTCCATTTTAAATGTAAAGGTTGCTGACTGACAAAACATGCTGTTAACAGAATTAAACATTACACTGAATTATAAATTTTTAATGTTCTCAAAGAGTTCTCTTTTTTTAATGAAACGGTGTAATTGTTAAATAAAAGTTTGAGTGTCTGGAGCAGTTTGTAACTTTTGCTGTGCTCTTCCAGTGCTGATTCCTACATCTGCAGCTGTTTCCTGACTGCTGCTCTCAGTGTCAGCTCCTTCTGTGTGGTGACATTCGTATCCCCAGCTGCTTTCTTCTCATCATATCAACAAGCACATGACTCACTTCATCCCCAGTGAATTTTCCGGAGTCCTTTTGCTCTGCTTATACATACTCACCAAACAAAATGTGATGTTGCTTTGTGCCACAGAGAACACAAGCATCACAAGAACTCCCGGGAATCCGTAACTTAGGGCTCACCTTTTGAGTCCTTTCAGGAAACTGCTCTCGTTTTATACTAGTCAAGTCACAACTTGTGCATCTTTTCTCTTTCCTCTGTGCAACTTCAGAAAAATAGCTCTTCTTAAATACAGTTTCTCTGCTGCTTAACCAGCATTTTCTATTTATTTTTACTAAAAGATGCTTCTTTGCAATAAAATGGTTTTGGTGGTTTCAAAAAAGTAGGAATTATAAAACATATATTGTTTTTCCTGTGCTGGAAAAACTCACAAGAAATATATATTCTAAAAACATCTGCCTAAAAAGAGAAGGAAGAGTGCAGGATATAATTAAGCACACTTCGGAACTCATTCTAGCACAAGGCTTGGGATGGATGGGAGGAGGAAGAAGAGTTAAAGGCTGAGAGGTTAGAATGGAGAGAGGTGAGGAGGAAACATGGATTAAAGACCATCTTTAATAGGACCTAATCTATCCAATGGGGATGCCTGATCTACAAACAGTTAAACTTCCTTGTTTAAAAGTTACAGTACCATTTCTGCTGTGATTTAGGTTATGGAATTCATGTTTTTATTTGTTTTCTTTCTCTATCATTCCTTCTCCTTGTACTTTGTTTAGAAGGAATGCTGGGAGAGTTGGAGCTATTCAAGCAGAGCTGGTCTCCTCTCAGTTGCTGATATCATCTTAAACTGTTAGCTCTCATCTGAGTTGTTTTTTTTTTTCAAAAAGCCAAATATTTCTACTTGTCAATTCTTTTCCCTTGAGTTTTCCTCAGAGAAACAGGGTAACTCTCATGCTTGATAAACTCTAAAATCACTTCAAACCCCTGGAGTTCAGAGAACTAAAATGATGTGACCCGGGTTATGGAGTTCATAAATGAATTATTCAGAATATAGTCAGTATCAATAGTAAGTTTGATTTTTTTTAAATTAAGTTGTAGCATGAGATTAGAATTGTGACATATTTATAAAGGAGGTTTATTGAAAGGGTCATTTGAAACGTTCATGTTGATTTGTTTTGTAAATTTCTAAGGAAAGGGTACATCCATAATAAAATTTCCTAGTTTATTATCAACTTGTGAAAATGAAAAATGTGGCCAATTGCTATATTAATTGTCCATGAGAATAAAAACATTAATGCCTATTATGATTTTAGAAGTACAAAGTGATGGCTTGATCACCCACTCACCCAAAGCGTGGTAGGGTTTACTTCTTATTTCATAAATCCCATTTATCTTTCACTTTATGCTTGCTGTGTTACATTTGGCTAGTAATACATGATTTTTCTTTGCCTGCAGAAACCTTCTTTATTGGTAGTACATCTCTAAGAATATAATCATGATATATTAAAAAATAATCATGTAAATTATAATCATCTTACATATTTCAGAATATCTTTGAATAAGGAGATTATACTTTTTCAAAAAATTGCTTCGGATATATTTGACTTGGAAAAAGTTAATCATGTGAAAATTGTTTATTTAAAACCAGTATTCTAACAAGTTTTTGATGTTGATATATATAAGCTTTGTTTGGGGAGAGTTCTTTGTTTAAATTATGCTGAAATCATGATTTTAAAACACAGGTAAGGATGGATAGGAGATTTGTAACTTAGAGGATCCTGTATTGCCTGTTCACTAAGTGCCTGAAGGTCTACTTTGGGAAAATGATGTCATTTGATCATGAGATCTGTGTGTGTTTTTCTTCTTCACATTATTTATTTGCCTATATTTCGTGTGCATGTGTGCTTTGTTGGCATGTATGGCTGAGCAAAGTACACTTTCTTGATGCTTGGAGAAGGCAGAAGGAAGCTTTGGATTCTTTCTAACTCCAGTTACAGATGGTTGTGAGCTTCCATGTGGGTACTGGGAACTGAAACAGAGGCCACTTGAAGAGCAACCAATGCTCTTTACTGCTGAGCTATCTACAGCTCCTCTAAATATGAATCTCTTAAAATGTAAAATTGCTATTTAAAATGGTATATAATATATAGCCATGCTTTTTGTGCCAATGCTGGTAGAAATATAATGTTAAATTCTGAAAATGTTTTAGGTCGGTCTGGGGAGATGACTAAATGTAAAAACAACTTTCCATATGTGTGTGCAATACTTAGTTCTAAGCCCCAGGACCCACACATCCATATACATGCATACAGACATGTCATACAGAAACGTAAATGATATATACATACTGGATAAAATACATAAATTAAAAATTGTAAATTCTGCTTGTACACTTTTCTTTACCATATTTCGTTCACATTCTGTTTTCTGACCATGTTCTTTCTATTTTAGTGCAAGATTTATTCCAGATTAAGTAGGTTTTAGTGTTAAAGTAACAGACATAGGGATTTCCCTTCTTGTGAAGTTTGTATATACAGTTTTTAACATGTGTACTTAAATATATTTTAACTGTGGTTGATAATCTTAGGCTATTTCTCATTGTATCCAACATCACTACATTGAATATTATTTCTCATCCAAACCATGACTCTTTGGAGAGTGTAAGATATGCAATAATTCTACAAGAACATTAGAATATAGTTAGATACATATTTTTAAAAGTGTGGATTTTTTTTAGACATACAATGTAGGAAGTAGATCTCAGTCTTCTTGGTTATCTTGTTTATTCACATTTTAAAGAGAATTGTAAAATTACAGTTGAGCAGTACACCCAATCTGGACCATAAGACACAGTGTACAAATTCGTAGGTTAGAACTGGTTTGGAAGTTAGGGAAGTCTCAGAACACCCTCCCAACATCAGACATTTAGTTTAGTGGGCTATTTCAATATGGTCACTGATAATATAAAATAAAGATAATGTAAGTATTTATTACATGAATATAACCTGCTCAGACTGTATGGTTTCTTTGATGTCTTTTATTATTCTTGCTTCTAAGCACTGGAGACATTTAAAGGTATTAGAGTTGTGTTACTTTGGTAGTTTTTTCCAAAGATATATACCTAATTTAATGACAAGCTTAAAATTTGTCTCAGGTATTTAGACATAAGAAGCCTTCGACTTTTTTGTCTTGTATTTGTTAATTTTTTATTTTTCAGATTTTATTATATTTTTTTCCATGACTGTTTTTAGAAATATCTAGTCTCATTCCCACCTTCATGAATATATCAAGATTTCATTCAAGTATTTAATAAAATCAATATGCTATGAACCACACCAATTTTACACTATCTCCAATAATGAGAAATTATTAGAAATATTGCTAGTTTTCATCTAGCTACAAAGTACTAAACTAGCATCACAGCAGTGTGGCCAATTTGACCTCATGATGAAATATTAATGTGTCTTGGTTTTCCAGTGAATCTTACTGCTATTCTGATGAAATACTTACTGCTCAAAATAAAGCCAAGTCTTACTTCTAAAAATTTGAATTTAGGGCAAACAATATTATTTTTAATGTTTGTTCCTATCTTTAAAGCTGTCTACTTCTACAAAATAAAGTAGTTGAAAACAATGTTATGTTCATTGCTAAAGAGTAATTGTTTTCTATTTTGGTAAGGTCTTTCTAGATATGACATTTGGTGCAGGAGGACACACAAAAGCTATTCTACAGAAGGAACCAGATATTACTGTCTATGCTTTAGACCGAGACCCAACAGCTTATGCAATAGCCAAGCAGCTTTCACAAGTGTATCCGTAAGTAACTCTCTATTTAACTTTAGTGCTAAGTTTTACCAAGTTTAGTTTATCTTCCTGGAATTTGTTTTACCTTGACTGTTGGTCTACTTTTTCATTACTGGCTATTTCACTGTTCACATCTGTCACTGCAAAAGAAAGAATTAATGTAAATGTGTTTCTAGTGCACATAAAGCAATGCCATTAATGCACGCATACTTTCTTAATCTGTGGAAATAAAATATAAATAAGGACTCCAATATATAAGATTAAATATATGTTGAAATTTTTCACAAACAATAATTTGACAATGAATATATTGTCAGGAAATCACTCTTGTTAGCTGTATTTAGTGATGTTTGCCTCAAGTATGTATTGCTCACCAAGCAGACATGTTGATCTAAATCTTGAGCCTGGGACGGATATCAAGACATCTTCTCAAAATATTACACAATATAATACAATGCAAAAATTACTTACTATAAGTTTAGCTGAATAACATATATGACATCTCACAGAGTATCTGTATCTCACAATACTGCACCTACTTTCTCTGAATTTTCTCTAGTTCATATGCAGTGATTTATCTTTTTGTCAGAACTAGTGGACTCTCACTTGGCCACCTTTAAAACAATAGGATCACAGAGTTGGTTCAGCAGGCAAGTGCGCATGCCTCCAAGCCTGACTACCTGAGTTCAGTCAATGAATCTCACTTGGTGGAAGGACAGAGCTAACTGCAAGTCTTCCACTGATCTCTTATCTTCCCATACTTGCCTTGGCATGCACACTCACATGAACCCTCATCTGTGGACATACACAAAATGTTAAATATTGTCTTCATGAGCAATCATTAAACAATACTGTGGCTCACATAGTAAAATCTATATCGTATGGTATTTGTTATACTTTATTCTAGAAGAGACAGTGTCTTGGGCAACTGTTTCTAAGTATAAGAACTATTTTCAGCCAACAAGAATGTTATTCTCTCACACTCAGTACCTGGAATCAGAAAAATAGAATGTAATTTGAGAGGAGTTCGACTATTGCTTACCACTATCTAGCAATGGAATACCATGCTTGGTGAAACAACACAGTATGGCTATGGGCAGGTTTATCCAGAGTCTGAAAGAAGAGCATCCTGCACTCTGTTGGGGGGGGGGGAGGCACGTTTCCCACTCTCTCAGCAGATTTTGCAGATCTAAAGAAGAAGAATCACACTCTCAATGAATTTCTCAGTAATATACATTCTTCTGAAAGTCTGTTGGTTTGATCCCATTTTCTTTCTTCTTCTAGAAATAATAAGAAAATGTAGTTCAACAACAAATTGTTATTTTTTTATTTTTTAAACATTTCTACATTCTTCAATGTAACATACATAGAAGTATTTATTTTTAAGTGGATTTTATTTTACCAAACATAACATTTTTTGCTTTGTAGACATGGAAGCTATTAGTGTTAGACATATAAATGCTTAAAAGAAATAATAATCATCTAGCTGTTTTTATTAAAAATATTCCAGTTTAAGAAATGAATATCAACAAAATAATTTTGATTTACATTTACTTGATTATTGCTTTTGCATGTGTGTACTACAGTACACATTTAGAAGTTAGAGAACACCTTGTGAGAATCAGTTCACTCTACTATGTGAGTCCACAGACTCAAACTTAGGGATTGTTGTTCAACGGCAATGAGCCATCTTGCTGGCACAAGAAATCAATCTAAATATAAAATATTATCTAAGAAATGGGCTAATGACAATTAATTTCTGTAAAAGTAAATATTGCTTTAAGCAATTTACATAATTTCTGCTTTTATATTTATAATTTCAAAACACCTTGCAAAAGTAAATAAGAAACGTGAAAAGTATTCATTCATCTTTTTTTTTATATAATTATTTGACCTATAGTTAAAATCTCCCAAAATAGGCCAAATATGGCTCATCAGTCAAAAGCATGTTCTACTCTTGCAAAGGATCCATTTTCAGTTCCGAGAACTCATGTAGGGCAGCTCACAACCACCTGTAACACAACCCCAGAGGATCCAATTTTCTGTATTCTGCTGACAGCTACACTCACACATGTACCTTACTCCTACCCAGCACACATTCACACACACATACACATATGCATAATTAACAATAAAAAACAACATATATGATAAAATAGCTATAAACTTAGAAATCCGTGTAAATTTTAAATATCTAATACTGGAAATGATATAAAACTCCATTCCCAAGAAGCCCTAAAAGTAAATAAAATTGTTAATAGCAAGTTTATCAATGTTTTATTTAAAGTATAACTTTATTGACTGCAGTACAAGATCTGAACAAAGGGAAATGTGTTTTTTTGGGGGGGGATGAAAGTACTCTTTTGGAAAACCCCCTTTTTTCTGAAAAACATTTACCCATGAAGCATTTTAATTTCATCTCAACTGATATTTTTCTTAATTTTTTTAAAATTTATTTATTAAAAATTTCCACCTCCTTCCCTCCTCCTTTTCTGTCCCCCTCCCCACCTCCCCCTCCCTCTCTAGTCCTAAGAGCAGTCAGGGTTCCCTGCCCCTTGGGAAGTCCAAGATCCTCCCCCCTCCATACAGGTCTATAAAGGTGAGCATCCAAAGAAACCAGGCTCCCACAAAGTCAGTCCATGCAGTAGAATAAAAACCCAGTGCCATTGTCCTTGGCTTCTCAGTCAGCCTTCATTGCCAGCCACGTTCAGAGGGTCCATTTTGATCACATGCTCCATCACTCCTAGTCCAGCTGTCCTTGGTGAGCTCCCATTAGATCAGTCCCACCCTCTCAGTGGGTGGATGCACCCCTCGTGATCCTGACATCCTTCATGTTTTTTACTTCAATGATGTGCTGTTTCACTTATAGTAGATAGAAAGGGCACCTTTTTAAATAACAAGCAGAGGAGACGTTTACTGCAGATATCAGGTGATGACATGAAAAGACTAATGGGTCAGTAAGGCATTGTCAGGAGACGTGCCACGGGGTGTTAGAGAGCCTGGCGACAGATTCCAATCAGTAAAGCAACTTAAAGAAAGACTTTAAGCAACTTAAAGAAAGATGTGTATGCTTATTGATAAGGTTGCACATTATTAATATGGTACTGATATGCCTTTCAGCTTTACAGAAGAACAATGACCCTTTGTTTTTCTAAAAAGTGACTTCCATTATCACATGTGCTCACTCATAGGTGGTTTTTAAACATAAAGCAAAGAAAATCAGCCTGCAAATCACAATCCAATAGAACCTAGACAACAGTGAGGACCCTAAGAGAGACATACATAGATCTAATCTACATAGGAAGTAGAAAAAGACAAGATCTCTTGAATAAATTGGGAACATGGGGACCTTGGGAGAGACTTGAAGGGAAGGGGAGAGGCAGAGAGGGGAGCAGAGAAAAATGTAGAGCTCAATAAAAATCAATTAAAAAATAAATAAAAATAAATTAAATTAAAAGTGACTTCTAACAGAGGAAAAAATGTGTGAAAAAGGTATCAATAAAGTTCCTAAAAGTAAACTGAAGGAATAACATAGGTTTGAGAAATTAGCCTAATCACAGTCACAAATCTATAAATCATAATTGAGAAAAAATATTCTATAAAATAAAAAGACTTGGTTATAAAGCGACACACTAATTTTTAAACAGAAAAATTTTAAATGAAATATGAAAGGAGTATTATGTTAATATAGAATGAATTTTTAAAATTTGACAAGAAGACCACCGAATCCAGTTGTCAAAATGGACGTAAAAATTCTTGTTAGATTTCTTCACAAAAGATTTGAAGTGATGTCCCAACTTAGCAGTGGTAACAGAGGCAATGAAATTATAATGGTACACTATGGGAAATGAAATTAGAGTGGTACTCTATGGAGAAGTACATTTTTGCTTGTGAGGATATAGGGAGCATACACATATTCATTTTAAAGGATATTTCTAATATTAATATAAACATGCTTTTTTAAAAATGAAAGTTGCCTAATAAAAGAGGAAGTGCCTAACAAGACCCTTCTTTAGGCTTCAACAATGTATATATATTGTATGCATAGTTGACAGGAAGCTTAGAGAAGGGAACAACATTTAAAAGAAACTATATTTATATGATTGCATCTCTGCATATTCATGTAAATTATTATATATGATGTATTGTATAGTGTGTACACACATACATATATGCCTTACTGTACCAATAGTATAAAATTTATACAATGAAAAATTTGAGTGGAAGTCATTTCTGGGAATACTGGATGTTTATTGGAATATTATTTTCTTGAAGGAAGTAACCACAATTTATTTTAGAGAATATAGTGGAATAAGTAAATTGTTATTTTAGTATGAACATCTTTTGAGAAAATAAAGGTAATTACTTCTCTTCATGTATTTATGTTGCTGTCATTTTAAAACATTTTACACTTCTGAAAATTTTCATATTATTTACTTTGTCAAAAACCAGCATTTTCTCTGAAAACTGAATAATTCAGGCAAATGCTGACTCTTCTGTTAACCAGGTTTAGCTATTTCAGAAAAATTACCTGCTATGTGAAAACTGAAGACTGCGCTGAGAAAACACACTTAAACTGGAGCAGTAGGGCACTGGAAGATGGATGTTGAAGGCAATTTAACCATATGTAGGCTTCTTTCTAATTTCTGGAGAAACAAGTTGCGTTCCATATATTAAGTTCAGAAAAGATAGAAATGTTTGAAGAGTGAAATATAAATTATGCTTATTTCATCATTGTATTTTTTAAAGCAGATTTTAAAAAGCCTAACTTTATTTCAAAGTTTCCTACATAGCGATGTAATTAGAGAATTTTTCTGTATGATGCAATATATCCATAATTATGTATTTATCATCTTTCCACTAGATGTTTGGCATTTGCCTTCTCTTGTTACGCTGCTGTTTCTCAATTTTTGTCATATTTGCATATGAACCCATAAAAGGGGCAAGGTTATTTTTTATGCATTCTCAACCAAATGACAGTGACTGGACATAATTTAGTTATATTCTCGGGC